TTTAATGGGTTCAACACGCATTGTTGTTTATTGAGTGTTATATCACTCTCATTCTTGAGATTCTTCACACAAGTTTTATCACTTTTGAATTGGTGCTATTATTTTTTAATAAAAAAAAATATGAAAATTAACGTAACTGTTTGGCAGCTACTGGATTCGTTTAAAAATCTGAAACTTTGATGGTACTTTCAGAAGGGTAAAAAATCCAGAAAAAACTTCGTAAAGTACACCTGTCAACATGAGCTGTTGTTAAGTTTTTTAAATGCTTTATACGTTATTTTAAGTTTTTCTTGTGTAAAAAGTTTTATTAAGATTATAAATAGGTACATTTTTTATAATAATAAGAAAAACTTATTTTTTAACCTAAACCTTGACCACTTTCTAAACAAAACTAGAAAAATTCCTTAATTTTAAAGTCTTTTTGAAAAGACTTTTTTACCCTTTTGAAGGTACTCCCATAGTTTCAGATTTTGAAATTAATTTTTAACCTGAGCCCCGACCACTTAAAAAAACAGAAAAATTCATTAAAAATATAGAAAAAAATCATATTTTTTTTCAAACAAGGTGTTTTGCTTCTTTTTACCCTTCTAAGGTACTTCCAAAGATTCAGATTTGTAAATTAATTTTTAATCTGAACCCCGACCACTTTAAAAAATTCGGAAAATTCCTTAAAAGGTGAGAAAAACATCATTTTTATATCAAACAAGGTTTTCCTTACTTTTTTACCCTTCTGAAGGTACTCCCAATGATTTAGATTTTTAAATTAATTTTTAACCTAAGCCCCGACCACTTTTTAGAAAAACCAGAAAAATTCCTTAAAAGGTAAGAAAATACATAATTTTAATTTCAAACAAGGTTTTTTCTTATTTTTTTTACCCTTTTGAAGGTTTCAGATTTTTAAATTAATTTTTAACCTGAGTCCCGACCACTTTTTAAAAAAATCAGTACTTCAGACCCTGACATAAACCATGACCTACCTAACCAGTAACCGATTGGGATCGACGGACTAAGTAGAGTCGGCAGTTGTTTTACTGTGGTTTTAACAATAGCCTAAGAAATACATTAATTTTTATAATTTTTATATAAAAACAGTACTTTCAATGCAAAAGTGATAGAGGAAAAACTTATTACATGACATCCTGTATATTACCTTAAATTTATAAACAAACAATCCTAACAGGTAAATCTCCTTTTTCTGGCATAAAACCTTGTTATTGTGTGCCATTACTTAATATAATTTATGCAATGTAAATATTTTTAATCCCTAATATTTAAATTTAAAGGAAGTGGTGTAGATATTTTAATGAGATAGGTAATAGATATTGATTTAATAATTATGAAAATAAGTCATTACCATTTCCGCTGTGTTGTATAATAAAGATGTTGTTTCGAATTTATTATTTAACTGAATTCATGTTATGCAGTACAAATTAAACCATCATACAATTTGAAAAAAGTATAGCATTAGTAACAATTTATTTATAATTAAAAAACATGTTATAATGGATAATAACATTCCATGGGTAAATCTATTTTTAATCAAAGTTTCATAAATCAACTTTACAAGTCATTCAATACAGTAGGTAGTTGTTATTGTCTACATCTGCTTTTTAATAACTTTTTATATTGTCTGAAATATAAAGAACATAATTGCCTGTAGTGATAAAAAATCATTGGCATACTTATAATAAAAAAGAAGCTCTTAACCTTATAAGGCCAAAATTAAATTATACGCTTATCATTTGTTATTTTTTTATACAGATAAAAACTTATTGCAAAATTGGGTTCATGAAAGTTAAGAAATTGCGTTTTGTTAAGGTTGGGCCATTTTTTTCGAGTGGTTTAGTAAATTTAAGGTATGATAACTAAAGCAGATTTAAGTTTTTTGTTGACTTTTAAAACCTGTATGCCTTATCTGATCTTTAATGATTTTGTCGCAGTGCAGTTTTAAAAAATGCAATTTGCGTTTCATTAAAATATTATATAAACAATAATAAATTTATGAAGGTTACCAAAGGCATGAAAATATAGTCATGCTATAATTTTTAGGATTGTTTTTTCAATTACAATGGTTTTATTTTGCTTTTTTTACTTTAAAAATTAATAAAATGTTATGAAATTATGCTGATTAATATTTAAAGATAAAAGTAATTATAAAGTATTGTTCTGTGAATGTATATCGTGGAGATACCAATGCCAAATCAGGTAAACAACGAACCCGTAATAGAAAATTTTGTAATTTTACCCCGTACCCAAAATATTTAATTTCAAGGTTAAACTTTTTCAGTTTATTATTTTTTTTGTTTTTCTACAAATAGCAAGTATGCAAATATTTTTTTGGAAACTGTTTATAAACTTTTAATGTTTTTAATAATTTTAAAAATGCGCACAGAAAATAAAACATTTTAATTTCAATATTTAAAGAAGTTAAGTTACAAGAAATACAACCATTTAAAGTGTACCCAGTATTACAAGAAATAATAGATATAATACAACTTACATAAAGTTTAATAAATGAAGCAATTACATAATACAGACTACCGTTTATTAACTGAGGTAGCAATAAAATGTTTGTAAAAATCTTGGATCCGCAACCATTAAAATAATTAGTCTACATAGTCCCTATAGCGCTCCCAATTTTTATGTACTTTCTTTATTATCTAATACTGAGTTTATTGTTTTCCAATGAGATTTGGTGGTCAAAAATATTAATAAAGAATTTAATTTATGGAATAATTTATGGAACATTTACATATTTTTTGCATTAGATAATTTAATGCATATTCACTTTCCATTAATTAAGTTTATTAAGTCATTTCGTATTATAAATCCCATTTATTCAAAAGATTAATTTCATATAAATATTATATCTGCATCTGCACACAGTTTACCCAAAAGTCTTTAAATTATTAAATGTTATACAATGTAAAAGATTGTATAAACCATTTTAATTTAAGGTTTTTTAATAAAGTACTTTCTTAACTTAAAACTGAAATTAAATGCTGTTTTGATTGTGGATTATTAAATTATTTTAGGTCGTTATATACCATGGCTTATAGACAATTTAATCTAGGTATTTCGCCAAAACCAATAAGCTAGGTATCTTATTATATTTGCTTTCCATTTCCTAATCTAATATATTTTAGTTTGTTTTTTTATTAACAATTTAATTGCCGTATAACATTTTTTAGAAAAAGTATGGAAGGTCAATTTTTAAATTTAACCTGGTTTTTCTGAATTTATTAAGATTTTAAAGAAATTAATGAGCATTTCATAGTATTTTATAAAAATATAGCGCGTTTTTAGTTTTTTTAGTTCTTTATTGTATTATTTAGACATACATGCATGTAGTATGTTAAAGCATGTAAAAAATAGAAGTTATCTTATTTCTTTCAAGATGTAAAGTAATGTAATGATTACTAGAATGTAATAAACCAATCACTGGAATGAATGAACTGGTGCATTCTGTCATAAATAAATAAACATTTTTACTGTTTTTTTTTTCTAAAAAAAAGTAACTTTGTATTTTATTGTCATCGATATGCACTAAGAAATAACGTAAGGAAATAAAACGTTTTCTAATGAAGTGGGTAATCCAACAACATTCCTGAGCAATAGCAGTTGCTACAATAGTTTTAATTATGGTAGTATGAAAGAAAATTAGTTTACCTTGTACATTTTTTAAGATAGTATGTATATTATATTGTATCCTATACTATTCCCTAAATATTAGAAGTACTACTTTTATAGTTATAAAAACATTTTAAAATATCGACTTTAGTATACTACTACTAAAATCATACATAGTTTACATAATGCGTTTTTTGTTAAATTTACCACCTTACCAAAATGATTAATAAGTTTGCCATTGCCTAATCCAAAAAGTTATTACAATTTATTACGAGTTATTTTAATTTTTTATAAATAATTAAAGAAGCAATTGTTCCAATTACTATTTCAAATACCTTCTGCAAACTCACTTACCAAAACAACACGAAAAAATACTATTTGCAATAGAATTCTTTTTTATTTTTAATTAAATTATGTATTCTATTTAATTCAATTTTGTAATTGCAAATGCAAGGTTTTGCAATTTTAAAACGCTAAATATTAACTGTTGTATTAGTCAAAGAAATATTGTAAATATGTTCGTTACAATCCTTTTAGAGATAAGGATAATTTTATATGTATTTATTCAAATTTCTTTGTGTTATCAGGCAATAGACCAACCTGAATGTCTCAGTTTTTCAAGCATTGGTACCTTTCGATACAATTAATAATCAATGGGTTTGATTAACTTTACAGCCTATTTGTAGGCTGGGCCTTGTGTCAAATAAATATATAATAAAAAAATAATAATAATATTAAACATGGTAAGTACGTAATAAGGCCCAAAAATATTTAACCCTATTCTAGAAGCACCAATTATGTCAATGTAGTAGTTTAAGGAGTATTATTAATAAACATATTTATAATAGAATTTTTTTTTATTGTGTTATGATTTATTTTTGAAATACATCTAATGCATTTTATGTATATTATTGGCCTAAATATTTTAAGTAATCAAGCTTTCAATTTAATTTTGATCTATGTGGTTAATTAATTTTAACATTTAGCGGAATTTAAAAAATTAAATAAGATTTTTGCTACTCCCAATTTGATTATTTCTTCATGTAATAGTATAGTTTTAAAAATATGCAGTTTTTTAATATTTTCATTGTTTGTACCTAGGTACCATAGGTAAATTAAGGTTATTTTAAAAGTATAAATTGACTATAAATAAGGCAAATATTTAACTTAAGTAGGTAAAATAATCTTATTATTATAATTTTAACCTCTGAAAATGGTTAAGCTAGTTATTTTTTAGACATATTTTGGTTTAGTTTAAACCACAGCTTTGCTTGATACTATTTTTCAAAAAAAGCTTGTAATTTTTGACAAAATAATTTAAAATATAATTTTTTTATTTTGTTCTATTAATAATTGTGTGATTAACTTACCGCCAAATAGAATGTTTTATAAGCCATATTAAGTCACAAATAAACAAAAGCAGGTATATCCAAAAAAAGTATTTGCAATAAAAACAAAAATCGTTCTTCGTTATCACCTATCGTTCATATTACCGACCCGAAAGTTTGATTTAAAATTGCGCGTGCATCTCAACGCAAAGTTTCCAAATAAACTGGCCAGGCAATCGTGGAAACGATTCCTATGCTACGCTGCTTTAATCTTCGGAAGATACGTAGCATGTGATATTTTGCTGGTGCGCCGGAAATTCACATGGTGGGGAATAACACGGTAGACCCGCAGTCCACGCTGCAAGAAATTCTTATACCAAGGATTTGTCGTCAAAATTATTTTAAATGTTTGTTTTGGTACTTAAAAAAAATAAACATATTTTTTTTTTAAGAAGGCACCATGTACCATATTTAGCAGTTCAGTTTCCAAACAAAGATGATCCAAAGTCTGGATTCCAGACTTACCAGATAATAGTTTCAGCAAGAACCAAGTTGCCCATGTATTATTAATTACAACATATGATGAATTTGGATTAATAATATATTATTATAATATTCTAAAATCCAAAAATACCGTCAAAAATTATGAAAGTGGAGTAGCTTTTGAGATATAGTCAATTCCATATTAAATGGAAAATTGACTATATTTTATTCCATGTTTCACAATGGAACAAGTGAAAAAGCAGCCACTAATAACTATTTTTGACTTGCCGCTAATAATTTTTTATCAAGAGAGTTGACTACTTCAGTTTAAGGGCACCTTTTTTCAGTGAAGTTTCTACATATTTTAAAGTACTTAATTAAATATACTCGTAAAATATTCCAGTAATTCCGTTTTTTAACCTCATACTTAAACGCATATGGAATAAACAAGAACCTTGTCAAGGTTATTTTTAATGTAAAATTACTTAGTGGTATTTTTCTTTTATACAAATTTCTTTGTGACAACCTATACATTTTTATATTATAAGACTTTTGGCCGAATTCTGTAATAGGTACTTTGGTAACAATCAAAATTATACATTATATTGTTACATATTTTAATGTGCCCTAAATTTAATATTGGTTGTCAATTTAGATAATATACCTACCATTTTAAAAACAATATATTACAATTAACTTCACTTTAAATTGAAGTAAGTGTGTAATATGAAGGAAATGTAATTAAATTTTTACTGAATATATACTTACAACCAGTTATAATTGGTTTAGTTATTAATTGAAAACCATAAAGTACAAACACGTTTATTTCTTTATTATTTCATACATTAATATGTTTTTATTAAATGAAAATAGAAAGCTTTATATACCATCAATTCAGACTTTTGCTAATTAAAAGTTAATTTTTTATTGGGAAACGATAAAAATGAATATTTAATTTGGATGATGCAGCTTAAGTTGTAGTTTATAAATAGCACGTTTAAAGCTAGGTGTATAGTAAATATATGTAATTTTGTTCATAGGATATATTTAAATGATAGATCACGCTACATTAATTATTATTAATTTAACATCGATTCATTCTGTAATGGTCAAATCATGGTTAAGCATGTCACCTTGAAAATACTTTATTTTACTTAGGTAGATCTTTTATTTATAAATTCACTAATAACGTATTCAAATGCGTTCATCTAATTAAAATAATGCTGTCATTTACGTCAAATGCATTATATTTATATAAGTATAAATTTCCTTTATACAGCTTTTTATTTCATGTAAGTATTCTATACGATCTAAATGAACAGTAAAAATGAAAAATCATGCTTATAAAATTATGTATTGTATGTAACATATTAATTATTTAATTATTGAAAAAACAAAGCAAAATAATAATATTACAAGTTATAATTTGAAAATTTAAGTATGCGCTAAAGTATTTAAAAACTACCTATCTAAATGAACAGTAAAAATGAAAAATCATGCTTATAAAATTATCTACTGTATGTAACATATTAATTATTTAATTATTGAAAAAACAAAGCAAAATAATAATATTATAAGTTATAATTTAAAAATTTAAGTATGCGCTGAAGTATTTAAAAACTACCTTGATATTTTGTTTATTTAAAAAAATTTAATATAATGCTATAAAGGGTGTTTCTGGAGAAACGCAAACGATATGGATTTGAAATTTTAATAGCGTATACAATTTGATTTAGACTATACCTAAAGTCAATAGTTTTCAAGATAATAATTTTTTCTTTCAAGCCGCCATGATATACAAACTTATATGCATGTATAGAGATAGTTGAAGTGCGCCTTTTTCATTAGCGGTAGACTAAAAACTCAAAAAAGCCTAGGGATAGAAGTAAATCCATAGATGACTCAATAGACGTCAAATATTAAAATTAATTTAGCATTTCATACAAAGCAATTACGATGTATTAATTATATTAATTATAATCGCACGGAATATTTAGTGATTATTTATTAAATTTTAATTGAACGAAATAAAGAACTAGTTTATTAGTATAATATTATGATGATAGACGAGTCGCCAATGTCGGAACTCCAAACAAATGTCAGTACGTCAAAATTAATTCAAGCGCAGCATTTTGACAGAGCAGTGTTTATTTTTAGTTTAGGATATTTATCGGCATTGTCCTTACTTAACCCTTGTTATAAGTTTTTTTAGCTTTTATCAATAATTTCTAATGCTTTTAGCCAAAATTTTATACCACATGAGTTATGAGTGAATAAAATAATTCTATTGCTTATCCTATTTATATTACGCCCTTGAAAAAAAATTGTATATGTTATTTGGAGTAGAAGCTCTTTTTGTGCTTCGTACAGTTGCCTGCCTCAGCTATTAAATTTTTAAATCGATGTCTTTCGCGATTCCCTATAAACTTCTAATGGACTACGTACTTAAAACACCCTGTATATTAAACGTCATTTATTTATTTATGTGTTATGCTATACTTATTTATTAATAAAAGATACAACAATATTTGTATAAAAATGACAAAATGTACTAAACTAAACGTTTATGAATACTGCTAATTCAAAACTGATCCTGGCCACAGAAACATCATTTGCATAAAAAAGTTAATATATCAAATAATAGTCAAATAGGTATCAATACTTAAACGTGTTATACTCAAATTTGTAGAACAAAGTTGCTTCTTCGATTATTAATTAACACTTTAAAAATTGTTAAATTTTAAATTAAATTATCACCAGCGCCCCCTGTACGTTAAAATTTAAATAATTTTTTTTCAAAACGATACGTTTTGAAATAAAAAAGTTATTAGGAAAATAAAATTTTTCATTTTTAACACAGTGAAGAAAAAATAAAACCAATGGACGAGATTTTTTTTAAGTACTGCATTTAGATGTAGAAATAGGCTAAAATACTTTTAATTGATTTCATGAACCCTTGCAAATCGACCGTAGTTAAATTAATAGTATCTATTCATTTAATGTTGCTTGGGAGAATATGTTTTATCGTGTAACTTACCAGGAAAAGTAATAATTAATAAATACAATTGTTCAGGATAAGATCCATTCTTTAAAATATTATATAATGAGAAGAAATATTTTCTTTTGAATACTAATAACTCTAATAAAACGTTATCTCTTGATTTCCTTATAGTAGCTCTAATAAAAACCGCTATACGAAACTAATCGTTTGAAAATTTACAATAATTATTTAGTATTTATACACATCGTTTCTTTATTTTTATAAGATTACAAAATTACTATAAACAAACAATTGGTAATTTGGTTTATAATAACATTTTCCTTTTACGGATTTTATAAATATTTGTTAGATATTAGCAACCTTACAATGGTATACATTGTTTGCTTCTTCCACTTCATGAATAATATTAATTAAAAACAAATCAAAATCTTGCATACATTAATAAATCTTTAATAAACTGGAGCTTCATAAAGTTTACTTGTCCCCTTAGGATATACATACTTCTGATGATTGTCAACATATTTAACCTTGTTGCCATTAATATAATCTTTATTATTATAAATACATCATTAACACTTATTGTTTCTTATTAGTTATAAAATGCATGCAAAGAAACCATTTACGGTGGCACCAACCTATTATTATGCAGCGTAAACATTTATTTAAATATTACTTGGAAATGCAATAAACAAAGTGATATAGAGGTGATGCTACTATAGGTTATAATTAGAGACCTAATTTTATGCGAAATAAAATTTATACGTTTTATATTAGGAATAATTATTGTAAAGTATTTTTTTACGAACGTATTCGATTTATAAAAAAGTACGTTTAACTTATTTTTATTTATTGTTTTAACCACCTTTTCAGTACACTGAAACCTTGAATAATACTTAAATAGTTTTAACGGCATGAAATTCCGGTCTTTGTTAATTATTAATAATAGTATTTTGTATAAGTGTTGGAATGACAAATAGAAGCTTAATATTAATATAGGTAGTATAATTTTATTAGTGTCAGGAAATAGTGTTTTGCTCTAACCATATCCAGTGGCGTAACTACCAGAGGTCCTACCGGTTTCAGAGACCGGGGCCCCGAGCACCAGGGGGCCCTCAGAAGGTGCAAGAGAATTTTTTTTTATCTTAATATAAGAAAAAAGTTAAATATGAAAAAATAAATATTTTGTTTTTTTTTTAGTAATAAATATTTGGTGCCTGCTTGATATTATATTTCTATTGTGTTCTTTTTTTTCAAATTTCTGAAATCAAAATTTGGAATTAAATATTTTGAAATAAACATAGGTCATTTGTGAATTTAAAATTACAAATCTAGAATCATAAACTCGAAATCGAATACTTCACATCGAAATTTGAATAGGAAATATACATTCTTAGTCAAAAATAGAAATAAAAAATTTGCAATATAAAATAAGAAACTTTCGATGTCACATTCACAATTTTGGATAAAAAAATCAAGATTCAAACTCTCAAATTCGAAATCTTATTTATAATAATCCCTTCGAAATCCTGAGCAGTGGGAAAAGTTGAAATGATCCAAAAAAATTTCTGGTAAGGGCCCATTTCTATAGATACGCCACTGACCATATCCATTGGTACACCCTGTATATATATTTATATATAACATGATACCCACAATTGTTTCAATCAATCGATAGAAATCATACTATAAAGTTTAAAAAAACCTAATTTAAGAGTAAATACATATAATACTTTTAACCTTTCGATATAATACTTTAAAAATCAGTTACCAATATCACTGTCAAGTAACCTTTAATATCGTTTACTAACCTTAATTAGTTAAACTCTAGACATCTAGGGTTAAATATCCGTGTAATTATTTTTTCTTGCAAAAGAAAAATGCTTTTACTTTTAACATATTTTTGTTTAAATATGTATACTTTTGTTTCTAAATATCAAGGTTTTAATCAAAAAATGCCTCAGCCACAGTGAATACGAATTGTGCAAAATATTGACTTAATTAAGTTTTAATAGTATATTTGTTTAATAAAATATTGGTTTAATGCTTCTTACTTGTTACCTTAAAAGGCATCATCAAATTAAATCCTACACATACTAATATAAAAATAATACACAATATTAAATTTTTACATGTGAAATACTGTTTTATCAATTTTAAAAAACATCAAATGGTGGGCTATAACCGCAAGCTGTATGTATAATCAAAAAACATAAATCATAAAGATCACGCAAAAGTTATGACTTTAAATGTTAAGCGAATTAAGTGTTGTGAATCTTCGCTTTCCTTCAGTTATGTAAGTAAATCAATAAAATGCAGTTTTGTAACATATCACGAAATACTTATTTTAAATTGTAAGACACCCATACAGTGCGCAACAAAAAGTATTAATTGTTACAGCTCTGTTATTTTAAATGAAAAACTTAGTGTACATGAACAAATAAATTTGGTATGCATATTACGCGTACTAAGCCGAAATTTTCGAAACATGCAATATTTAAATAAGTTATAACCTCACAATTACCATAATACGCCTACTGCGATGACTATTTAATCGTTTAAAAGAATAATAAAAATTGAGACATTAATTATTTTGGCCAGCTTAGGCATACAGGTTATAAATAATGCATGGGATTGTAACAATGAAACTTACAGGAGCACTTTTTGTAATCTTTAAGTTTAATTCTGTTTGGTTGGCGATCTTATGGTAATAGTTTTGTTTGTAAATTAGGTAGAAAAGTGCTGGTCATTGTTATTGATTAAAAATAACATTTTAAATAAATTATAGGTAGGTGACTATATAAATATTATAGACATTAGACCCAAAGATAATACACCCCATATTATCTTTGATTAGACCCAACATTTAACTTAGGGATTTATTTTAAAAAAATTGTTAAGGTAAAACAACACTATAAGAAAACATATACACCATGTGTAATTTAATCATCTTTTTATTTAAGTAATTAATAATTTGATGCAACATATTAAGTGTATAAATCTTTATAAGCAGTTTGCTACTTAATTAAGATATTTCTTGCATTGTTCGGATGCCATATCCATGTACGAGTTTTATCTAGTGTCTTTTATATGTAAATTATTTTTTATAAGGTTAAGATAAAAAATATTGTATTTACTAACTAACCTTGCTCTACCTAAACATTAATGTCACTAGCTGTTACATATTATGTGTATCATGCTTTAAAAATATTAAGTATCCGTAGTTATAAAAGGTTTTTTTGTAATAAAAAAAATAATTGTTTTGTTTTAATAAATTTGAAAACAAATTTGTTTTATTAAAAAAATATTCTTTAAGTTTTAATTTTTTTTATATTTTACATCGTTTATAAAATTTTAAAAAAATTATGATAAAAACCAAGACTCACTCAGAAATTGGCAAATTTTCTAATATGTATCGCATATACATAACAAAAATTAATATTGATTGTTTAATATAAATTATATGATTTTCTCGACAAAAAAATAACAATATACCATTTTACACTGAAAAAAATAAGCTGTTGAAACAATAACAAAAATATTAATTCAACTCTTTATGCACTTTAAATACAAGCAATGTTTTTTGCACGTATATAAGTATACTTAACCATCTGAAAATGTCAAATTGTATTGTTTAATTGAACAACAAATATTAGTCAAATGAACAAAATGAGAATATTTGTTCTAATCTGCTAATCTGGTTAATTAAACATTCTTGATATGTCGGAGTAATATTTCGAAAATGGTTGTGCTAACATTTTTAAGATGTTAAGGTAAATTTCTTGAAATGTCCAGGTAACCTTTTTAGCATAATCACTTAACACCAATAAAATGTTAAATTAAAATAGGTTGCACTAATTTTGGGTTAATTAAATTATGGAATTAATATAAAGAGAAAGAATGGAACCTTCCCTCGCCAGAGTTTTTGACGTGGCACGGGTGTTCGAAGCGCCCTTCACGGCAATTTTAGGAATGCAAAATTAACAAATTTTAAAGTAACATTTACAATTTGTTAAATGAACAAATTTAATGTTTTGGATTTAAAGAGCAACTATAACGTTAATTTAATAGTTTTTTAGGTAATCCTAAAAATTTCAGTATTTGATTCAACCAATTCCAGCTATTAAATCAAAGTAGGATAAACATTTTAATTCAAAAAATTTGTTTATGTTAAATCAATATTTTAACTGCCAAATGAACAAATAAACTTTGACAAACTCTGACTATTGCTTTGACACCAAAATTAATCAAATAGGTTTTTTGATGAAACTACATTTTCAAAAATGACATTTAGGCAAACGTTAACTCCACTACATTATTTTTTTCGGTGTACAAGGTCTAAAGAGTTGTAATAGCGAGTATTAAATAGTATCTTATTATTATTTAACTGGGTTGGTTAATATTATATTACGCTCGAAGCTTTAACCGGCTCATTGCAAAATTTATTGTGGAAGATGATTTTTATTATCATTAACAATCTAAATATTTCTTAAATACGGACAAATATACGTATACTCGTATCTAATTTAAGTTCTCGCCCATCGGTTGTTAACAATACGTTTATTAAATTACTAGGTAATCATTTTGCAATAAAATGTATAAATGAGTATAATTTTTCATGTAAATGAGCCATAAACAATTTAAAATGGATCGTGTGGTAACACTATTGTAACACTTAAATTTAAATGTCAAATGTCCTCTCGATAAATTTTAATGTTTTTTTAAATATTTATTTTGTTTATAATAATAATTAACTATTAAAAATTGGCAATCACTGGGCAACAATAATTAATGGAAATATAATGGATTTATTTTAAATTTATTATAAACAAAAATAAATAAAAAAATATACTTAATTTCAAGGTGGTTATGATTTTGTACTTAATTTAATGAGTTTGTTCTTATCTTAAAAACATTTAGTTGATTTTAATCCCTTAGTCGTAAACATTCCTTAAGGTTTATAAATAAATTTTACATGTTTATTAGTCAGCAGTGATGTAAAGCACACGTCTACTTCTACAGTTATATGTATAAATGTCATTTTTAAAAATTGTTTATGAAAACCAGAATTTAACAATACATTTTAATAGATAGGGCTTTATAGTAATATTTTTTATATTTTATTTTTTAAATAAATTTTAGTATAATTGTATATGGTATGTATATATTCTTAGTTATATTAGTTTTTGAATTTTCTGTGTATTATGAAGTTTTTGCAAAAAATCAACAAAATTACAATTTGTAATTCCAAATAAAAATACATTTCGTTATAAATAAACACTTTACTTTTTTATTTGTACTTTTGCAATAGGTAACTCCTACAACTATTGTCAAAACCTTTATAAAACATACATAAAATATTATGATACAATATAATACAGTAACTATTAAAAACATTTATAAAACCATTTATTCTTTAAAACTAATTTTTGGCTTGGAGGTAGCAAATTCCAGTTTATTTAATAATAATGCTGCCCGACTTGTCCAACGTGTCCAATTTGTCCATTATCGTAGATGTCATAGTTTTCTGGGTAGGCGTAGTTGTCATAATCGCCATAGTAAGCTCCCTTTTCATAACCTAAAAAATAGGCTTTATTATAAAATGCGTTTATAAAACTTGATACAAAATATACTATAAACTGCAAATGTATTGGATGCCATAACTTAGATTAAAATATTAATATACAATATGATATTTAACATTATAATTACAAATAAATTATAATTTGATCAGATGTTTCATAACATATCTTAAGTACCTATATCATTTATCCGAACCTTTCAATTTAAGTGATATAATGTTATTTCGAAATTTAAATTTTAAATCTTTTAAAAGGTTAATTTATGTAATGTGTTTATTGACAGTTTTAATTGTTTATTATTTTATTATCTTTTCATTTAAAAAACTGGTGTTTAAGGAATGTTTTAAAACTTATGATTGCGTTGAATATAATGTGTTTATTTCAAGACTTAATTTTTATTTAGTATGCTTTTTGTTTTTAAATTTTTGTAAAAAAATTGGATTTTAATTTTTTTTGATATCTCTTCTGATAAAGATTTTATAGGGGTGTCCCATTTCTAAGAAAACACCCTGTACAGTTCATTATTTTTTAAATTTGGACTCGTATTTTTTTATTAAGTTTGTAGCTTACCTATGCCAGTTTGATTTAGTATTTTTAGTATTTAAGAAATGGTACTTTTGCTGAATAATACTCTGACATGGTCAAATTGACATATTTATTATTGATAATTTACTGGTTAATTATTATATAATATCGATATAAAAAGATAACTATGCCAAAAATAATATCAGATTCTAAAGTAAAAGAACTTTTAAGGGCAAAACTTCATTTTGAAGAAGTTATGCCAAACGCCTTAATTGCAGAAAAATTACATCGCCTTATGGACATTTTTGGAGTAAAAAAGTAACGTTTTTGGTTTTACAAATATTATAACACATTATTTTCAGCTAAGTAGCTTTAGTAGTTAATTTTCCTGTCTTTGAAAATAGCATCTATTTGGTTTGAAAAAGATAAACAATAATCACGAAACTTTTTCTTCTTTCAGTTTGCAAGTTACTGATCATTAATGTTATTGGACAATATTTACATTATAATTAATATTAAGCCACTACAAGTATTAACGTCCAGTGGCTTTAACAAAATTCCCATTCACCATTGCAGTCCAATGATTGGACATCATTCACGTGTGTTCACATAAAATTTTAATTTCTTTTATATAAATTCTTTTTAATGCGAAGATTATTATCCGCTAGGAATACTTTGTCTCTCCTGGGCCGTAGTCTCCTATATTTAACTACTTTTTTATATGATTTTACTCATCCACGCACCACCAAAGCCAAATTAATTGAATTTTTAACTACGAATTTTGACAACTCAACTTGACTCAACTTGACAACCGTTCAATGTAACCCACAATAATTTAAACATAACCACAATTACATTTATAACTAGTTTAGTTTGTTTTAATCAATGCAACCAATTTTGGTTCCCAACCAAACCCCTAAATTTGCAATGTTGCGGCAGTCCAGGTAAACAAAATGAACTTTGAGTCTATCCTTAAGGCATTTTATTGTTTTATTGAAATCTGACAACATACGTCATAAATAATTTACCATTTATGTCAATTTCAGTGTGTTAATGAATGTTTATGAAAGATTATAAATCTCAAAGCGATTTTGTCAATTTCAAAACATATAATCAATCATATTTCAATTTTGCCCAAAGCACGAGTGTCGATTTTTAAATTAATGGATATTGTGTGCGTGTGGTCGAGCCTAAAGAGAAATTTTAGTGAGATGAAAAATAAATTACACTGTAGGGAGGTGAAAATGTCACAGCTAAACGCTCGGACACGTAAACTTAATTTTTGGTCGTAGATTACAAATCCTTGCTTGGTTTAGCTGTATCAGGTCAAAATTCAAAGATATTGAAAACACCCTGTATAAATTTACACCCCGTATACATTTTTTTTAATTAAATTTGGCGGGACCCACACATCAGTTCCAAATTAAAAAAATAACAAATTCTTGCAAAATTTGAAGTTAATTGATTAAAAGATACACGTGTCCTTAGATAATTTAGGAAATTTGAAATGTTTTTTTGCTGATTTCTTTTTATTGAGTATAATTGAGGATATTAAATTAAAAGCATAAAACTGTTGGCACAAGAGGTGAATTATATTATTTTACAAATTATAATATACAGTGTGTCCCCGGATCGGATTTCCAATAGGAAAAACTTTTTTATACCTGATACAGCTAAACCGAGCACGGATTTGGAATATACGACCAAAAATTATGTTTACGTGTCCGAGCGTTTAGCTGTGATATTTCAAAAGTAAAAAATTTACTTACAGTATTATTTGACAATAATTGTTATAAACATCTAACCTTAAATTTTTGTTTAGTTTATAGTTTATCAAAAAAAATATTAATTTTTTTTTAAATTTCTAACTTGGAAATCAGTATTACCGTTCAAAATGTTAAATTTGTATGTGTAAATTCAAATGAAAATGGACTAACAACCGTTTAAATCTGATATAGAAGCAGTTTTTTACAGTTAAAGTGCACAGAATTAATGTACATTTTAAATTTTTAAGTAAAAAAAATATTATTTCTAACTCTCAAAACACAAATAGTTTTAATAGGTTGGTTTAATTTAATTTAAAATATTCAGCCAGTCGCCAGATGTTACAACCCAATAAAACTTAACTATTATTTCTACATAATGCCTAATGGACATTAAAACACTATCCAATACAAATTTGCTGACCCCAACCCAGTACTGTTTTTAACAAAAGTAAAGTAAGGTAAGAAAATCATAATTTTAGTTACATTAAAAGCATCATAGATATCCTAGATCCTAGTGCACATGTTTGCTATTTACACTCTCCCGGATTTTGTTGAACCAGGATTTATATTTAAAATAATTTTTTACTTGAAAACACATAAACCGCGAAGGATTGGCATTTTGTAATTAATACACCAACAATTAAGTAGCTCGGTATTTTTAATTATTAGTTATTATTCATTAATAAATGTTAAATAACCAAGTACGGTAATAAATATCTAGGTAATTTTGTTTAGCAGAGTTTTCTGTCAAATGGTAGACTATCCCAAGTTTAGATTCCTAAGTTACCTAACAAGGTAATCATAAATTACTATTTTTATGGTTCATCATACACATTCCACCAAGTGTAAACTATGTGTAAAATTATAATATACAGTGTGTATCAGTGTGTTAACCGTTGTCAATGCAACGTGGTATTTCTAACATTAATATACCGATAAAAGAAGTTTCCATTGAAGTTAAATCGATTAAATTAGCTAATCAATACTACAATGTTAATGCAGCATGGTCTTATCAAGTTAGAGAAGGACCTTACCAAGGTGGTTGGCATCTAATTAAGAGTTTTGATTAGTACAATACACGTGAAGTAAATTACCACTGTAGTTTTTCGAATATACACTTACTAATATAGTAACAACATTGAAATATAGTTAATAACTATAACTATTAGTTATAATATATATGTCATAACGGAGTCATATAAATATTTAAATGTTTAAAAAAATAAATTTCGTTAAAAGGTCAAACTCAACAAAAGACCTTTGTGGAATTTACGCAAATATTTATAAACAAACTCATGAATAAATTAACAAAGAAGAAATAACTCTTGCAAAATCTCGTCAAAAATAATGGTGAAAATTCCTGACGTTTAAAATCTTTATCTTAATCAAAAGTTACTCCTTCAAAAGTAATCAAAGCAATCGTGACTTGGATGTTACTATTAATTCTAATAAAATTTATATACTTAACTAAGTGCCTATAAAGAAATAGACATTTAAAATAAAATGCAAAAATTTTTTAAATTTATAAATTAAAAATACCACTTAAAGATTGCATTTAGAGGATAATTATTTAATAAATCACAAAAATCAAGGTAGGTGTAATTTAACACATAAGAAACTCAACCCAACCGTGGTGTCATAAAAAATGTCTCCTAAACAAGTCGGGTTTTTTTTGGTAACACATATAGGACAAACAAGTGATCTTAATTTTTAAATATCAAGGTTCCAAATCCTGTTTGGATTAATTTCGTTAATGAAGCTGAAGTGCACCTTAATTTGTTTCTGGTATTTAAAGTAGGCGTTTGACATATTTCCTAATGAATTAGCATTTGTTTATTAAAAAAATTATCTTAAAATCTTTCCGATTTCCAAAAATGTATTTTCCAATATTCTGTATTTCCTATTTTATATACAATCGATAATATTTGTAATTGTCCGATAACCAATTGATATGGTTTCATATAAATTCCTTATTGTTAGATGTAATGTGTAAAACAAGATAAATCTAATAAATAGATTTGAAAGTATACAGGAGAAATTGGGATTTATAAAACGAGTAATCATTAATGTTCAATGTATGTAAGTATTGATTCGTTATTTTGATAATGAGTGCGGTCTTTGAATAATGACCGTATTTTTTATAACAAATCTATAATTATTTATAATACATTTACCTATTCGAATCGGAAGTTACTTTCCATTGTATTTGTTTAATGCATTGGTAAATATTTATGTAACTATTAAATTAATATTTTTATATATACTTAATAAGTAGCAGGTTATATTATTAAATGCTCTTAATGAAAATTAAAAATAAGAATAGAAATCTTCTTGAGAGCGGATGTATTTAATTTATTATTATTATTTTTTTATGTTTAAAAGTCAAATATGCCTTGTTAAAAAGTAAGGTCAAATTTATTGTTATTATAAAAAATTATATAAGTATAATAATTTTCTTTAAATTAAAAAAATAAACTAAAAAAAAACAAGACAAAGAAAATATTCTCAACCCAAATCAAAGATTAAATATACTCTTAAATATATATATATACATTAGGGTGCTTCATTTTACAGCGACATTTTTTTTTTCAAAGTCCCACCTGAAAATCTTGTAACCGGTCAGAAAACAAAAATTTTGAGCTACTACAAAGCTCTTAATCTTTATTTTAAGCCGTTGCTATTCAATTTTTAAATATTTCCCTTTAAAAACCATTAAAAAACAATGTTTTATTATTTTCTCCTTCCGCTCGTACAGTAAGAATATTTTTTTTGAATTTCCGTTTTCAAATATTTATACAGGATGAAATTATCTTCAAAAATGTCTATTTAAGCAAGTCTTCTAAAATAGCAGTAAATCGTATTTGGAGATAAAAAAACGTAAATAACAATTTTGTAGGAAATTTTGTGCCCTACAATATTTTTCTGTATCACTTATAGTTTAGCTGGTACAGCCACTCAAAGTGTGAAATTCTTAAAAATTTAGTTTCTGACGACTGTAATAACTATACTATTAGAGTTACGTAAAAGAGTGTTTATAGGTTTCGTACCAAGATATTTGAAAAGTTCGTGAAAATTGATTACCCTGGCTCTTATCGTTAAAAATTGATGAAATTTTTGGCGTTGGACTACTGCCCAATATCTGTCTTTTTTCAGTTTTGTTTCTTCTTAAAAAGGCTTTCAATTATTTAGAGATGTGGATGGCAGTTAAATAGTTTACTATCTTTTTAAAATTTAACAGGCAAAATAATTGATCCACACAAATTTTCGATGAATTTAAATCGCAAATAACTTTTTTATTTGATTTCGGATTTAAACAAATATTAAAGAATATTGTAGATACATTAATGGAGAATCGCTCACATTTTAAAAATTACTAAAAAAATACACGTACGTTTATTATATACAGGTTTAAACAAAAATATCATTATATTATGATGATTCAACAAAACTCTCACTGTCATTCTCCATAGCCTATGGATGGACCATAGCAACCTTAGTTCTTCATACAGAAAAATATTGGAAATTACAATGTTTTTTTAAAAAATCCATATTTTCCACAAAAATAAATATATCGAGGAGAACCAAAAACAAAATTGTTAAGAATAGATGTGACTTGATAAATAAAAGTTAATTTAGAACAATATACGGTTTTGCCACTCTACAGAGTGTCTTAATCTTATCGTAAAAAACATATTTTTGTTTAAACCTGTATATTATAAACGTACGTCTATTTTTTTAGTAATTTTTTAAAATGTGAGCGATTCTCCATTAATTTATCTACAATATTCTTTAATATTCGTTTAAATCCGACATCAAATAAAAAAGTTATTTGCGATTGAAATTCATCGAAAATTTGTGTGGATCGATTATTTTGCCTGTGAGTGTATTAAACAAATGATTAAAAAATATATAAATTTGTTATAAACCCTTTAACTAGCATATACCAGCGCCACCTATGCACTGGCGCTGAAAGTAAAAACTCTTACCAATGGGTGATGTATACTTGAAGAGAGGTTCCGCCACGTACTGCTTCTGCACGATCGGTGGTACAGGAACCACCTGCTTGTAGACAGGCTGCACCACTTTCACTACAGGTTGTACGGGTGCTATGGGTACCACTGGTGCTGGTGCCGCGTGGACAGATGGCGCGCTCTTCGACACGACAGCGTTGAACCCGTTTACGGAATCTGCCGTGTAGTCGACTGTGCGCACGGAACCATCGGGTTCTACCAGAGAGTACTGGCCTTTGACGACGTCTCCGTCGCGGGTCTCCGTCTGCTGTTTGTGGTCGCCTGTGTGGGGGTCGGATACTCCGTATTTAAAGGCATATTTTGGATGAGACTAAAATAGATGTTGATGTTGAATATTTTGTGTAAAAAATAAAACTTGGTAATTTTAAAAAATGTCAATCTTAAACCATGGGTTTTTTATTACTAACTAACAGTCCCCTGGCTTTAATTAATTTTATTTCTTTAACGTCCTAAAATAAAATAATTAAAAACTATAAAAAATCAGCTATTAAATTTTGTGTTACTTGACATACCTTTGCATTAAAAAAAAATTATGTAGTTACACCCTTAAGTCTCATCATCATTTAGCCATACAAAAATTAAAGTTAACATGTTTTTGGAATTTTAAAAAAATTATTTGTTTTTAAGATAAAAAAATTATTTTAGTTAAGGTATACTACCCTTTATAGGTATAATGTTATTTGGATATGCTTACATAATAGTCTACTGCATGTGGAGCATATCCTCCATGATGTCCTGCAATTATTCCAGCCCATATGTTTGGAGCAAATAATGTAATGACTACTGTAATAACCTAAAATAATAAAAAATATAAATTAACAGTAATTCAAGTAAATATAGTATATTATGTATCCAGTTTGATAATTAAATGAGTGTCTAGATAACTTTATTAACGAGTAGCATAGGTACTAGGCAGGGCCGCACCAAGTGTTTTTGCCGCCGGGTGCAATTAAAAGCTTGCCGCCCCTTAAAGGAAAAAAAAATCGTAAAAACACTATTTTAAATTAATAAATTATTATGTATACAGCAGATCCCGAAAAACCACTAATACATATATGTATTAGTGGTTTTTCGGGATCTGCTCCGTGTTGTCGGTTTTTGGTTCTTAAAAGAACCGTATGTCTGACGACGTTTCGGTACAATCTCATGTACCATCTTCAGGTTTTATCTGCTGGGCTGCTGTTGCTGCTCTGCTGCGAGTTAGACGTATAACATTACAAAATATTTTACTAGAACTACACCTAAAAGCTAGGTTTGGCTTAGCTAAAAATTTAACAACCGATATAATTCTTTCTAAAACAGAACACCATCTTTTCTGTTAACTGTTAATTAGTTTTTCCTGTAAATAATCTATTGATGAGCCACACTTTAATGAAGTTTGTAATTGAATCATTTTGTTGCAACATTTAATATGATCATTAGAACTTTCATGTCGGCTTAAGGTTCGCGATAAATGTTGCCAATCTCGAAATCCATCTAGCCCCAAAGAACAGATGCATTCCCAAATAACTTACATGGGAAACAAAACACATAGTATATTTTTTAGAATATCCAAGTGCGTTGAACGGATTCACCATTTGGTAAAGTTTTTAAAAAATATTTATTTCAATAACTTCTAGTGCTAGCGTCTTTGGGATAATGTGAAATTCTCTTCATTTATGCTAAAAAAAATTCTGTCAAAATGTGAGCTCTTAATATTAATTTTAAAAGGTCCATCATCGAATTTAAAGTTTTCCCATTGATTTAACATGGAAAAATAGTTTTTTAGGATTTATATTGCCTACATGCTATGTAGAACTTTTGTCATTTTTTAGCATTAAATTATCTACAAAAAATCTTAAAAAAGTTCCACATAGCATGCAGGTGAAATAAATCTTAAAAAACTATTTTTCCATGTTAAATCAATGGGAAAACTTTAAATTCGATCATGGACCTTTTAAAATTAATATTAAAAGCTCAAATTTTGACAGATGTTTTTTTTAGCATAAGTGACGAGAATATCACATGAATTGGAAGAAAAAAAATATTGCCTTATTTTGAAACACCCTAATAGGTATTATACTTTTTCTATCATAAATACTTAATATTATCTAAAAAACTTATTTACTTATTATAAAAATACTTCAATAAAAATTGCAGCTTAAATCCGTTATTGCATTTTGAAACTTTTTAAGATAATGCCAAAATATATTTTTGTAAGACATTTTTCCATGTTGATTATTTAACATATTATTAGTGTGATAGCCAATATTTAAATATTGGGTCAAATAAAAAGTTCAAACAAAAAATTTACGCCTGCCATATGCTCACAAAAATAATAATGAGAAAGTTTGAAATTTTTATTGATTTTTATATTATATGGAACTGTCCAATTTTTTTGCTAAAAATATATATCGAATATTGTATTTTTTGTATTCTAAGATAGTTTCTTAAAGAATCTAATAATAATGTAATTATTTTTATTGTAATAGTCACTATAACCAAATCAATCAATAGAATCATTGACATATTAACATAGAACATCCTTGAAACAATTATGTTTCCTGTTATTGTAATTATTTTAATGTTGCCAATAAAATAATTATCCTATTAGCGTACGCTAGGTATAACTTATAAATGCTTGATTTTACTACTGAATGTATTACTAATATTATTTATTATTTACTACTTGCATGGAGTAATTATAATTTGTAATTGTTTATTTATAATAACTTAATTTATGCCTTCTATAAATTTTTATCAATTTAACAAATGTTATGAAAGTTTAAATATTAATTTCAGAGTCAGTTATAATTTATCCGAAACAAAAAGTGTTTTATATGTAAATTTAGGACCCACTAAATCTAACTGAAATCATTTTGGTTTCCCGTACATAATGGTAACCATTATAACCGCCCCGCCCAACATCAGGAATTATGAACTTATTATTCCCGTTGCTGGGCCTTACTAATTGGACAATTTTATTATTCACTGTGATTTGAACCAATCAGGTTTTAAATTGGGAAAAAGTGGTATTGGAACATTCTGACAGATTTTAGATTTGTTGATATTTACGAGGGACGACTATATTGATCTTTAAAATAGGAAAAAAGTAAGGTTAGAACAGGCTTGTTATAGTTCTAACCTCAATATTTCTCAATTTAAAATTTAAAAATATAAGTAAAAGTAAAATATAAGTGACACCTTTCAACGTAAATAATGAGTTTATTGCTTTAGGACTATTTTTTTATATGTCATACCTATACGTTTTTAGTTTGTTTAAAAATAAAAAAAATACGCGTATACACAACATAATTATATCGATTATTTTAACATGTTAATTAATTAAATTTAAATCCTCCATAGATTATAACTCCCTTAAATAGTCTAGAATTTCACAACTATGGAACACAATAAATAAAGCACAATCACAGAAACACTAATTACCTTAAAATATTCCATCATGCAAAATTAAAAAAAACTCAAAGAACAATAACGACAAACTGACGGTTTCTAGCCTACTTGGTATATATAAGAGAGTCCCAGTTCGCAATATTGTACCCCCTCCCCCACCCAAAAAATTGCCCAATACGCCACTGCGTTGCCAAGGACGCACCACATAAGTGACAAAGTTGATGGGAACCAAAAAATTCACCAATTTTCACCTTCGAATGGGGTACGATTGCCCAACAAACTACGCTTTATGATTTAGGTGTTTTTTATTATTTTGTTATTTTATTTCTCAGATAGGTCCAAGGGTATTGTTTCTTTTGGTAACTATTTATTAAGTGGGAACTTGAAAGTAGTGATGATTTATTTTCTAAATTAATTATAATATTATAATAGCTTCATTTCTACTCTTGGTTTCTCTTGATTCATGGGTCAAAGTTAATGCTTTTAAATATTTTACAAGGATTTTTTGTACAAAATATTTTTTTCAAACTATTTTTTTTATATTTACAACATACTTTTTAATTAATAAATAAGTGATTGTACCTATATTGAAAATAAGAGCATTTTTGACCATTATTGTCAGAAATGGTGGATGCACCACCATAGCTATTTACTATGATAATTATAATAGTACCTTAAATTGTACTTTAGTTCACAAGGATTTTTTTACATAAAATATTATTTTTTACACAAGTGTAAGTTTATAACATACTTTTAAATCAATAAATAAGTAATTGGACCTAAAATGAAAATAAGAGCATTTTGTACTATAAGAATTATAATAGTGTGTAGAATTTGAACTTTTATTATTAAAAAAATTACACAATTAGAAATGGTGGATGCGCCATCATAGCTATGTACTATAATAATATAATAGCACGTATACGTAGAATTTGTATACGTAGAATTTGTACTTTAATTGTTAAAAAAATAATCCAAAAATATATAATATATATAATACTAATAATTCACAAGGAATTTTTTTACAAAAAATGTTTGTCAAACTATTTTTTTACACTCATACTTTTTAATCAATAATTAAGTAATTGTACCTATATTGTAAATAGGAGCATTTTTGACAATTATTGTCAAAAATGGTGGATGCTCCATCATAGATATGTACTATAATAATTAGAATTTGTACTTTAATTGTTAAAAAAATAATCCAAAAATATAAAAAAATTTAATACTTTATAACAAATCATATTCATAATTTATTATTCTAAATCTTTAACTAATACTACAATCTTATAGGATAGTTAAATCATCTTTAAATTTCAAAAACATTTTAGCTATTGCAATCCTTTATATAATTTTGTTTTTCTCGAATTATTTTCTAGTTACTATTTATGGTACTACAATACTTACATATGTCGTCTTATGTTGTTATTTCCTTAATGCGCAAGAAAATAATTTCCCAACATCTTCTTAATACATGATAATTTTAATCAATTTTCTTATGAAAGCGATATTAAAATGATAATTTGATAATTTGATAATAGGTAACAAATTACAAATATACTGTTAGATCAGTAGGTATAGTAAAAAAAATATTATTACATTATTTTTACTTAATTTATTAATTTAGCCTAAATTATTTAGGTTTCCTTGGTAACTGAGAGGGCTCCTAAAATTTGACAATTTTTTTTTACCAAATATTCAAAAAAATGTTACTTTTCATGGACAATAACTGTGCCAAACTAAATGCAAGCAATCCTTAAAAATATAAGACTAACTCATCATTGCAGTATGAGAATAATGATATGCGTGAGACAAATACTGTAAATTTGTATGTACATATTCATTGTTGCTTCTTAAATCATATTGTTTATATAGGTAATAATGCATAAAACAGGTACATTATTCTTCTTAACGATTGCATAATAGATTAAAACAATGGATCTATTGGGAACATTTTTTGGCCTAGATCACATAACTAAGAATTTTCCGCAGTAATTTTCAAAGATATATAGATGCCCCATTTATATTATCTATTTTATTTTAAAATGAAAAACCACAGAACAAAACAAATGCTTGTAAAAATCATGATTGTAATATTTAAAATTGGTTAAAAGTAAGTATTTTTTTTCGAAAATCATTTAATTATACACTTATAGTTGAGTAGATAAAGTATGGTATTACACTCGAGATTATGTACATTATTTTGCACTATTAATACAATATTTATATTGTTAAATACCGAATAAAATGTCTAATAAATTGTGAATAAAATAAACATAAAATTATTATGCATTTATAGTACGTGTCTAGTTAGCAACACCGTTATGGTTGAAATACGGAATTCACGCTTTTTGCGTCCAATAAAAAAAATAAGATATAGACATTGTTAAAGAGCTATTGTGAGATTTTCACTGTACTCAAGGCTTATTTCTCAACAGATAACATAAGAGATTATTCCCTATGAACAATACTAGTGCAATGTTTGTATCTCTGAATGATTTGCTGATTAATTATGTATGGATCTTGATGTTTTGTACTTAATTTGTATAACGCTTTGTTGGAGGATAAGGTTTATCATTGTTAATTAATAGGGTTTCTAAATTTATTTATTTCCTCCATTAAGTAAGGTTACAAAAAATTAATTTATTATAGCCACGTTATATAAGATGGTTTATTTATTTAAATTTCACACCAAGGAATTTTCATTCATTGTTTTTGTGTTGTTATTCTGAGTTAGAGTTTTGTTTTGAAATTGTTTGTAATTTCTTTTACTCGAATTTAACATATTTATTAAAGTTTGTTCAAAATATTAAATTATGTCATAACGTATGAGCGAAATGCAACATTTCTAGTGCCTTGAAATGTGAGAATTGTGTCAGAAAACATTTGAAATAATTTCAATGTCTCATAATAGGAGTAATTATTAGACTAACAGCTCTATTATGTTTATATGGCCATTTAACATATCTTACGTTTATTAGGTTATTTGCTGTTAATTGAATTCATGAGTCAGTCAAAATGAAGTCAATAATTATGAAGAAACATATTCCTTAAAATTTCACCAAATATTTTTCATTATTATTAAAAATTTGCACATGTAAGTAAATACCTACATTATATTTCTATTATCTTAAAAGATATTTTGAAAGCGATATTTTGACATAGTAGTAAAATAGTAAATTATATAATTACTGTAGTCTAATCTGCAAATCTTAATTTAGTTTAATTAAGCTATTTAGCAACAAGTACATACGTATAATCATGATGCTTCCCGGTTATATTTATTTTTTATGCAAATTCATTTTTTTTTAAATTACTGATGATTTAAGATTAAAGTATATAATAAAATTAATTGTTAAGATTAGGAGAAACTTTTTTGTTTTTAAGGTTTTAATAACTCTATTGTTTACAGTGGCGTAACTACCACCGGTCCTACCGGTTTCAGAGACCGGGGACCCGAGCACCAGGGGGCCCCCAGAAGTGGCAAGAGAATTTTTTTTATCTAAATATAAGAAAATTGTTCAATATGAAAAAATAAAAAAAATTGTTTTTTTGTAGTAATAAATATTTGTTGCCTGCTTGATATTATATTTCTATTGTGTCAAATTTCTGAAATCAAAATTTGGAATTAAATATTTTGAAATAAACATACCTAGTATAATTTTGAATTTAAAACTAAAAAATCTAGAATCATAAACTTGAAATCGAATACTTCATATCGAAAGTCTGAAATATTGAATAGGAAAAATAGAAATTCAGAGATAAAAATATAAAAATGAAAAATTTGCAATCTAAAATAAGAAATTTTAGATTTTACATTTACAATTTTGGATAAAAAAAATCAAGATTGAAACTCTTAAATTCGAAATCTTATTTATAATATAGCATAAATTAGTATTACTATAAATTAATATAGCAATAATCTCATTACCTTACCAAAAAGTGCTATATCTCTCTTAGTTTAAGTATTTTTAAAAATATCAAGAAATTTGTGGTAAACATAGGTATTTACTATTTATATTATTGGTGCAGGGGCCCACAGAGGGGTAGGAGGTAAAAGACCCAAGCAGCATTTTTGGTTCCAAAAACCATTGCCAAAGTGGTGATAACTTAAATTAGTTAAGTATACTAAACAGCTACTTTAATTTTTACTTAAAAGTAATTTTAACTTTTAAATAGCAATATTTTGTAACAGTAACTTAATTTTTCCTTAAATGGTTACTATAAAGTAATAAACATTTAAGTAAAACTTGGTTGCCCCCAAGAAGACTTTGCAACTTTAAAAAAGGTGTTATAAGTAAAAAAAACTTTTAAGTAAATTTAATTTGTAGCAGTTACTTTCGGTTGCTACCTAAAGATTACATTATAATTATTTTTACTTTGTAGTCCCTTTCCAAGTTAAAATCTCGAAACTGGAACATGAGTTAAACACTACAAAGTTAATAACTTAAAAGTTATTATTTTAGTATTTGGAACGTTTATGGTACTAACCAAAACAACCGTAAAGTGGAAAAAAATTTAAAGTAGCGAAAACTACTTCAAAGGAAAATGCTTCTTATCCGCCATTTTTTACTGTACATTATCACGTGGTAATGTAAATAATAAATTATTTTAATTGTTTGTAAATGGTTGTTTACTTTTTAATAAATAGTAATTTTGTTGGCAATAGACGGTATTAATAATGAAATCAAAAAATTAATAATAAATATTAAGTTTTTTTTATTTATAAACATTAAATAAATAATTTGTTTATACTTAAATATTGATAAAGCGCATTTATTTTACAAAAACTAAATTCATAAGTTCAACAGTAAAATTTAAAGGGTTTATAAATTTACCTGCCTAATTAAACATTATATTGTTATTCTGGAAGTTATAAACTACCAGTACATATTTAATAAACGACGACATTGAAAAGCCAAGTCCGTAGTGGTTCCATTTAAAAAAGGAGGGATAGTATAATCTAATATAAGTTTGACAAAGACAGTTAATATAGAAGTAAAAACAAATAAATAAAAGTAATTATAACGCTCTAGCAACGATACTGGAACGTTCTAGTAACGTAGCAGCTACGTTCCAAATAGTAGCAGGGTT